ATCGAGGGGAATGGGATTAAAAGCCGAAAGCTAACAAGTCACCTTAATGGAAACCCAACCTAGTTGACTGGAGATCCCAAGATCTAGGTTCAAAGGGACAACAGAAATTCTGAGTGACTCACCAGAAGCACTGGGACGATATAAATCTTCTACCCATTTCATTGATGAGACAGTGTTACCTACAGCGATGATTAGGATAAGCTATTCTTTTAATGACTCTTATACCTTGAAAATTCAAGTGGGGTATGGTAGGATACTCTTAATAAGAAGTCACCTATATGAGTGTGAAGTGGGGTCGCTTCTATGAGAACTATAAAGGCTAAGTTTTCTGGAGCACTCATTGAATACCAGGAGTTGTTCAGGGCCAAAATAAACACAACAATGAGAACCAACTTTGTGAGGAAGGGTACTGTGTGTTTGTTATTGGCTTGGTTTACATAAACGGCTGAACAGTTCAAGACATCGCGTTCACTGGTTAGCCAGTAAATCCGATAGCAATACACTAGGGAAGGTTCAAAGCCTAAAGCTACCTATCCTAATGTAGTAACTTTTCGACTATACTTGTAATGACCCGGTCTTTTTCCTTCTTTTCTATTTTCGGCGATTTTCTTTTTTCATCTTTTTTTCCTATTTTGTCTTTTCCTTATTTCGTCTTTTAGTTGTTTTTCATTTTTCCTTGCATAACCTCACTTGTTGTGCTCGAATTTGATTCCAGTTTTGCATGCATTCATGATATTTGATTTCCATGACATTGGTATTTTTACTTTCCTTGAAAAGCATGCTAGATTAGTACTTTCTTGTAAAGGGCATGAATGTATACTTTAGTATAATTATTTATAACTTTTGGGGTTTTGGTGTAATTATGTAAAATAATTATTTTTCGTTTGGGGGACCTTTTTACAATTTATTTTGGAAGATATTTTGAAAAAGGACCATTTTGCAATTTTTGGAAAGTGTGACAAGTGTCATACTCTCATGGAGCCATTTGTTGTCATTTAGGTGAAGAGACTTAGCACCATGACTTCTTGACATTTGGTGGGTGGAGATTCATCCATGTGTTAGCCTTTGATTAGTGCACATGTAGCCTTTGATTTGTGATAAGTATGGGCTTGGGATTTAGTCTTGGAAGAGGCATTGGATTAGTGACAAGTGTAGGATCAAGGTTTAGTCTTGCATTGTGTGTGTGAGAGAGGTAGTGCAAGAGCACATAGTGAGTGGAGGATTTCTAGCCCTTCCACTCACCATTTTTACACTTTACCTTCTTTATTCCATTATCTCTCATGAGCCCTAACAAAGACTCCATTAGAGGAAAGCTTAGTATAGAGCTTTGACTTCACATTTGGCACTCTTCCACTCACCCTAGACCTTTGACCTTAGGAGAAAAAAGATTCCTTTCACTCTCCTCTTCAAGAATCCTAACCTTGTTTTCCATTTTGTGCTTGGTAGCTTGGATTATAGAGATTCAATTCTCTATTGAGGTAGGGGTGGTAGTATGTTTATATTCGAAGTGTTTTATAGTCCTTGTGGTTTAATATATATTGTGTACATGCTTTTGATGTGATAGTATTGCATATTATAGGAAACCCTCACTTCTTGACTTAGGGTTTATTGATTTAAGCATGTATGATATGTGTAAACCATGTGTAGGAGGATTATATAATTTAGTAGCATGCTAAATTCTAAAAATTTCACATGTATTGGTGATGTGGGACACTAGTAGAATTATTGATGTTATATGCAATCTCTATTGATATGAATTGCTATATTTGTTGTTACAATAATTCTATACCCTTGTGAATTACTAATTGTAATTATTTAGGAGCTTATTGTTATGATGTTGATAATTAGTATATAGAGCTTGTTATTGAGGCATGACTTGAATTGATAAATTTGTGATATTGTATTGTGCATAATATCATGATGGGAATTTGTCATTTGGAATGCCATTCTAGATTTGGAACCCTAAGACATGGTTTGTATGGTTTCAAAATACTTGTGCATAGAAGGTGGTTTATATGCCTTATTATATATATATAAGTTTTGAACTTGATATATATTTTGGAATCTCTTGGGACATTGTTACATATGACATGGCTAAAGTTTGGCTTTAGTGCGGGAGGTATGAGTTCTCCCGAATTGAGATAGTGCGCACTAGGGTGGTCTTCCCAGTGGGTTAATGCCCGGAATAACCGTATTGTTCTTGGTTAAGTCCGAGACATGATGTCCAAGTCTTCCATTACTTGTTTTCGCATTAAATTTCAAGTTGACAACCAATGCTTAATTGTAGCTTGAAATTCTTGTTATTGGCGAATTGATGTTGTTGAGTACATTGATAATTATTTGTGTTGCTAAAGAATCATTTAAGATGATCCCTTAGAACACCTCGAACATAGACGTTAAATGGAATGATCCCTTGTATTCGTCTATATTGATCTTGCAATGATATTGAAACTTTAGGGTATACGCATATGCTTCTCCTACGAGTAACTTGATTACTCACCCTAATGGTTTGGGTTATTTTTCAGGTAAGGAGACCATGTTCATGGATGCTCATCATCCTTAGAAGCTTTTGAGCTATTTGAAGCATATTTGTATATTAACATGCAAGTGTTTAGCATGCTTAATTTTTGAAGTTATAATTTTGTATACCATGTATGTATGGTACTTTTGAAGATTATGTAACCTCTTTGATGTGTAAAGATGCTTAATTAATCATTATTGACATTAGAAGCATGCATGTAATGAGGCCAAGGGCCAAACATGTCTATTTTTGTACTTAGACACTTTTTGTATCAAAGTTTTGCTTTAAATGTCTTTTAATCAAATCTTGAGGTTTGAGGGGTCAAAATCTTATAAATGACGTGTATGGGGCCATGGGCCATTGTTTTATCTTCATTTACTCATATCAAAGTTGTTGACATGTTCACATTCCCAAAACTAATGAAAAATCAGTTTTACACATTCATATTTGAATCAAAGCATCATGGAATTCACATTTGGGTTGAACCTTAGCACCTTCAGTAGATAACAGGTTCAGCAGCAGGTTTTCGAAGTGTTTCGGTTGACTGAAACTCCATTTTGGTCGACCGATGGTTAATGGTTTGGTATTTGTACAGTAATCTCACATTCCAGTAGCCAAAAACACTATTCATGAGTCATTTCAGTCGACCGAACCCTTATTTCGGTCTACCGAAGCAACACGAACCTTTGCTTCATGATTTTAGGTCTTAGCACTTTCATTTTGGTCGTCCAAAAGTCCATTTCAGTCGACCAAAATGGCTAGAACCCGAGCCTAGCTTCTGTTGAGTTTCTGTACTGATCATCCGACTTCAACGGGTCATAACTTCTTCGTTTCTAATCCAAATGGGGTGATTCTTGAGCCTAAACTTAAGGATTTTGAGTCAAATTTCCAATGGTACCAATCCCATTATCAAATTTCAAACACAGTGGGATTATATGTGTTTTAGTGAAGTAGTGTCAGTTTTCACTTCAACCGGGACGGGGCATTTTGTGGGATTCTTTGCCAAAGTCTATGGAACCTCTTGGAATGTTTTAAAATGATTAGATTAGGTTGTATTAACCTTTTTTTGACCTTTTTAGAGTCAAGTTTCTCCTTTTAATGGTGAATTGACCTTTTTGCCCCTTAAATAGCAAATTTTGTCCTTTTTAACCTTTGTTTCCGTTTTTGTCCTCTTTAAGTTTCGTGGCCTCATGGAGGGTCACATTTATGTCTTAGGAGTGACTCCTATCTTTAGAGACCTTGGTTTACCTTTAGCTTCCGTAATTCGGATTCGTTATCGGATCACTTTCGGTTCATCACTGACGCACCGGGTTGAAAAACTTAGGCCGTCACAAGTGGTATCAGAGCTCCTAGGTTTGAACACCTTAGGACGACGGGTTTTGGTGCATATCATGCTTTTGTTGATGTACTTTGATGCATTCACATGCTTTTGATAGCATGTTTTGACTTTATAACATGTTTAGATGTTTCGTGATAACATGCTTAGTAGTATGACATGTCTTTATGCTTATATGCCTATATGGTTAAGAGCACCTTTGTTTGACACGTATGCTTATCGGCTTAAGTGCTTAATTGTTTTAAGAGCTTTCTTTAATTGCTTTAGCATGACGGTATATTGCATATCTCGTCTTGCTTCATGTCTTGCACATTCATAGTGTGAAGTGCACTTGGTCATAATAACTTGAGTTATTGTTGACCTCATTTCTTTCATGTATTTAGCATCATGGTTGTCACACGTGGAGAGTCTTCACGTTAGGGCACTGAGGAGCAGGTGGCTGACACCGAGTTCACACGGGGTCCGGGGAGGCCCAGGATTCCAGTTCGTGGCATGGATGCTAATCCGCCACGGCCACCAACTTATGAGGACCGAGTGGCTCAGGGAATCAATCAAGGGATCGCTGAATCTCTATAGGAGATGATACGTAGGTAGGTGTTAGGAGTGCAGATTCCAGCACCGGCACCGGTACCGATAGTTAATAAGGCACTAGAGTACTTTATGCGACTATAGAGGGTCAAGATTGATCCATTTGCAGGGAGTTCAGATCCACTAGTCTCAGAAGCTTGGTTAGACCTTATGGTTCGCAAGTTAGACAGTATAGCGGTACCCACGGATAGGTTGAGGATTTCCTTGACTGCTTCTTTGTTCATAGGTGATGCAGATATCTGGTGGAGGTCTATGACCAATGTCCATAATGTTGAGTTGATGACTTGGAATGAGTTCAGAGATCTGTTTTTCGAGCGCTTCTTTCCGAGGGCTATGAGGCTGGAGATGAGGACATAGTTCGCAGGTCTTTATCAGGGCACTATGAGTGTTATTGAGTATGAGACCTGATTTACTTCTCTCTCTCGTTATGCCGAGGATATGGTAGCGACAGATGAGGCCAGAGCAATGAAGTTTCAGGATGGACTATATCTTGACATTAGGCCACGGGTCTCCATTCTTGATTTGAGGACCTACAGGGAGGTGGTTCAGAGGGCTATGCCGGCTGAGGCAGAGGAACGGGATAAGTTACGGATCAGAGGTTCACACAAGCAGCCTCGAGGAGATAATCCATCGTCTTCCGGGAGTTAGTGGAAGAAGGCCAGGGCAGGGAACAATACTCACTCACAAGGGGCATCACAGCAGAACCGTTCTGCACCCATAGTTCCTGTATCTACAGGATCAGCTCAGGGAGTGGTTTGTTACCATTGTCAGCAGCCGGGGCGCATCAAGCCTCGCTACCCACAGCTTCATCCATAGGCCAGTCAGACTTCAGTTCCTACGAAGACAGGGCAGGGAACTTGCTTTTATTGCAAGGAACCAGGTCATTTCAAGAAGGATTGTCCAAGATTGTTGAGTAAGCCACGTAGTGGCACAGATTCACAGATGGTACCGGCACAGTCTGTAGGGGTTTAGTCTGGTTTCAGAGTTCCTCAGGCACCACAGTTAGTGGCGCCGGTTGGCACTTATCCAGCCAGGGGTTCTACACCTACTGTTTCTACACATCAGTTAGGCTATCATGGCAGTTCACAACAGGGCTCAGGGACGAGCCTATGCTCTTCCACAGGCAGATGCTCCATAGGCACCGTTTCAGTCTGAGGTATCTTTTCAGTTTTCAGTTCTTGGGCTAGAGTTCTTGTTGACACAGGTGCATCGCATTCTTTCATTTCTGCATCATTTGCACATTCATTGGGTCTGGAGGTCACACTTATGGATAGTTTTCTCTGTGTTGACACACCAGTAGGGGGTCCAGTGTCTTTGAATCGTGTTTGTCGAGGTTGTGCTATTGAGATAGCTGGACGGACTTTGGAGTTCGATTTCGTTGTTCTCGACATGACGGGTTTTGATGTTATTCTTGGGATGGATTGGTTATCATTCTTTCAGGCTACGATCGATTGCTTCTGTGGGAGGGTGACCGTTTGTACTCCTAAGGGAGATTGTTTCCATTTTGTAGGAGATCAGAGTGATTCCCACCCAGCTATGGTTTTCAGCATTGGTGACTGGAGTCGCCACAGATCCTACTTGGCTAGTTTGCTAGTTGACGAGGATAGTAGTTTGGGTCGTGTTTTTTCGGTAGTTGTTGAGGATTTTGTTGATGTCTTTCCAGAGGAGCTAACGGAGTTACCTCCTTTAAGGGAAATGATTTTTGCCATTGATGTCATTCCCGGCACGGCACCCATCTCTATGGCACCATACCGTATGGCACCGGCAGAGCTTGATGAGTTGAAAGGTCAGCTGGATGATTTGAAAGCTAAGGGCTTTATTCATCCTAGTGCTTCACCATGGGGAGCACCAATTCTTTTTGCGAAGAAGAAGGATGGGTCTTCAAGACTTTGCATCGATTATCGCAAGTTGAATCAAGCTACGATCAAGAACAGATATCCTTTACCTAGTATTGATGACTTGTTTGATCAGTTGAAGGGAGCGACATGCTTTTCGAAGATTGATTTGAGATCAGGTTACTATCAGTTGAGGGTTAAGGATGAGGATATATCCAAGACCACTTTTCGTACACGGTATGGCCATTATAAGTTTCTGGTGATGCCATTTGGTTTGACCAATGCTCCAGTAGCTTTTATGGATTTGATGAACCGTGTATTTAGTGACTATCTTGACAAATTTGTGGTGGTGTTCATTGATGACATTATCGTGTACTCAACTTCGAGAGAGGAGTATGAGTATCACCTGAGAGCAGTTTTACAGATCCTTAGGGATAACCAATTGTATGCCAAGTTCGAGAAATGCGAATTTTGGCTACTAGAGGTGAAGTTCCTTGGACACGTTGTGTCAGGGGGTGGTGTTGCAGTGGATCCGTCGAAGATTGAGTCTGTGATGGATTGGGAGCGTTTGAAGACAGTGTTTGAGATTCGGAGCTTTCTTGGCCTAGCCGGCTATTACAGGAGATTTGTTCGGGATTTCTCTCGTTTAGCGGCACCTATGACTCGACTTACTCGCAAGGGGGTCAAGTTCATATGGAATGAGGTTTGTGATTTTGCTTTTCAGGAGTTGAAGGTCAGGTTGACATCAGCTCCAGTTTTGATCATACCTGAACGTGGTTTGGGTTACGTGATTTATTGTGATGCTTCGCAAGAAGGTTTGGGTTGTGTTCTGATGCAGACTGACCGCGTGGTAGCTTATGGGTCTCGACAGTTGAAGACTCACGAGTTGAACTATCCGACACATGATTTGAAGTTGGCAGCAGTTATCTTTGCCCTTAAGAGGTGGATACACTATTTGTATGGGGAGAAGTTTGAAGTTTTCTCCGATCACAAGAGTCTCAAATATCTTTTCTCCCAGAAAGATTTGAATTTGAGACAGCGTAGATGGGTTGAGTTCATGGAGGACTATGACTTTGTGTTGCAGTATCATCTAGGGAAGGCCAACATGGTGGCTGATGCATTGAGTAGGAAGTCACGAGGAACTCTTGCTAGCATTTCCATTCACAAATGGAAGATGCTAGAAGAGCTTCCAGATTTTGGTTTGCAGTTGTATGAGGATGTTTCACAGGCTATTTTGTTTAGCCTTGTGGCTCAACCAGCTCTTGTTAGCAGAGTTATTGAGGCACAACAGAAGGATGGGGAGATGAAGTCCATCCACGAGCAGATTTCAGGCGGCGGGAATGTAGAGGGTTTAACCTTGCATTCAGACAGTGGTCTCAGGTACAAAGGGAGGATGTTTATCCCTTTGTCTTGTCGTGACATTGTTCTTCGAGATTTTCACCATTCTCGACTCGCAGTTCACCCTGGTGGTAAGAAAATGTATCACAATTTGCAGAGATAGTTTTGGTGGAAAGGTATGAAACGGGATGTTTGTTAGTTCGTGACTAAATGCCTTACTTGTCAGCAAGTGAAGGCAGAGCATCAGAGACCGGCAGGTTTGTTGCAACCATTACCAATGGCAGAGTGGAAGTGGGAGCACATCACTATGGATTTCGTGACGGGACTCCCGAGATCTAAGGCAGGGAATGATGCCATTTGGGTCATTGTTGATAGATTGACTAAGACGGCTCACTTTTTGCCTATGGCAGTGACAGATGATGCAGAGAGACTTAGTGGATTATATGTAGGGCAAATTGTCAGGCTTCATGGGGTTCCAGTATCCATTGTTTCGGATAGGGATCCCAAGTTCACATCTCACTTTTAGCAGAGTTTTCTGGAGCTCTTGACACGGGGCTTCATTTCAGCACGGCATTCCATCCTCAGACTGATGGTCAGTCAGAGTGTACCATTCAGATATTGGAGGATATGCTACGGGCTTGCATTTTGGATTTTGGGGGTAGTTGGGAAGACTACTTACCCTTGGTTGAGTTTGCCTACAACAATAGTTACCAGACCAGTATTGGCATGGCACCTTTTGAGGCGTTGTATGGCAGACCTTGCAGATCTCTAATTTGTTGGACCGAGGTAGGTGATACAGTCGCCTTAGGTCTCGATATTAAGTTGATTCGACAGCGGTTGGCTACAGCTCAGAGCAGACAGAAGAGTTATGCTGATAAGAGGAGGAGATCCTTGTCTCTTGAGGTAGGGGACCATGTTTTTCTCAAGATTTTTCCACGGAAGGGACTTTTGAGATTTAGACAGACAGGCAAGTTGTCTCCTAGGTTTATTGGACCATTTCAGATTTTGGAGCGCGTTGGTGAAGTTGCTTATCGTTTGGCATTACCGCCAGACCTGGATAGGGTTCACGACGTCTTTCATGTATCTATGTTGAGGAAGTACGAGCCGGATCCATCGCATGTTTTACGGTGGACGGATGTTGTTGTTGATGAGGACGTGACCTACGAGGAGGGTCCGGTCCAGATTCTTGATTCACAGGAGCAAGTTTTGCGGACCAAGACCATTCCATTGGTTAAGGTCTTGTGGAGACATCACGGCTTTGAGGAGGCTACCTGGGAACTCGAACAGGAGGTTCGCTCTTGGTATCCCCATTTGTTCTCTCTTTCAGGTACGACTCAATTCGGGGACGAAATCCTTTTAAGGAGGGTCGGTTGTAATGACCCGGTCTTTTTCCTCCTTTTCCATTTTCGGCGATTTTCTTTTTTCGTCTTTTTTCCTATTTTGTCTTTTCCTTATTTCGTCTTTTAGTCATTTTTCATTTTTCTTTGCATAACCTCACTTGTTGTGCTCGGATTTGATTCCGATTTTGCATGCATTCATGATATTTGATTTCCATGACATTGGTATTTTTACTTTCCTTGAAAAGCATGCTAGATTAGTACTTTTCTTGTAAAGGGCATGAATGCATACTTTAGTGTAATTATTTATAAATTTTGGGGTTTTAGTGTAATTATGTAAAATAATTATTTTTCGTTTTGGGGACCTTTTTGCAATTTATTTTGGAAGATATTTTGAAAAAGGACCATTTTGTAATTTTTGGAAAGTATGACAAGTGTCACACTCTCATGGAGCCATTTGTTGTCATTTAGGTGAAGAGACTTGGCACCATGACTTCTTGACATTTGGTGGGTGGAGATTCATCCATGTGTTGGCCTTTGATTAGTGCACATATAGCCTTTGATTTGTGACAAGTGTGGGCTTGGGATTTAGTCTTGGAAGAGGCATTATATTAGTGACAAGTGTAGGATCAAGGTTTAGTCTTGCATTGTGTGTGTGAGAGAGGTAGTGCAAGAGTACATAATGAGTGGAGGATTTTTAGCCCTTCCACTCACCATTTTTACACTTTACCTTCTTCATTCCATTATCTCTCGTTAACCCTAGCAAAGACTCCAATAGAGGAAAGCTTAGTATAGAGCTTTGACTTCACATTTGGCATTCTTCCACTCATCCTAGACCTTTGACCTTAGGAGAGAAAAGATTCCTTTCACTCTCCTCTTCAAGAATCCTAACCTTGTTTTTCATTTTGTGTTTGGTAGCTTGGATTATAGAGATTCAATTCTCTATTGCGGTAGGGGTGGTAGTATGTTTATATTCGAAGTGTTTTATAGTCCTTGTGGTTTAATATATATTGTGTCTATGCTTTTGATGTGATAGTATTGCATATTATAGGAAACCCTCAGTTCTTAACTTAGGGTTTATTGATTTAAGCATGTATGATATGTGTAAACCATGTGTAGGAGGATTATATAATTTAGTAGCATGCTAAATTCTAGAAATTTCACATGTATTGGTGATGTGGGACACTAGTAGAATTATTGATGTTATATGCAATCTCATTGATATGAATTGCTATATTTGTTGTTACAATAATTCTATACCCTTGTGAATTACTAATTGTAATTATTTAGGAGCTTATTGCTATGATGTTGATAATTAGTATATAGAGCTTGTTATTGAGGCATGACTTGAATTGATAAATTTGTGATAT